CACTTCAGCTGAGTAACGCTAAGAGACTCAGCACAAATAACTCGATCAGCTGCTACCGAGATACAAATTGATTTATCACAATTTTTTAAAGCGCCCTTGATTATGGGTCGGTAATTCATCAGCGGACTGTCTCTCGATGCATTGTTAGGAAACCCAGATTTATTGACAACCAGCGTGACTCGGTACCTTTAATCAGTGTCTAATGGTGTTACCTATGCCTCAAGTCTTGTTTTAACCATTAATCGAGAGAACAGTCCGTCGATGATTTGGTACGGGCTCGTCATTTTGATATTGTTCAACCAGTTCAAGTGCACTTGTTAAGCTCATAACATATAAAGCAATCAGATGCGCCTTTTTGCTGGAATTATCAGCAATTTCGCACGAAGTAAACAAGGGTGGAATGTAATGCAAAGAAAATCTCTGTAATGTCTAAAACTTTTCTTGCAAATGGAAGAGTTGCATTAAAATAAACTGGTTTTGCCCATAATTTGCTAATCGGCAGTAATAATGGCGATTAAACAAAAACATAATTTACTGCTACCGATTGACTTCACGTCAAAATCCATTGCGCATACTTACTGCCTTTGGAGTTTTTGCGATCCATTCTGCCTTTGTCGCTTAATCAAAAATGAAGCCTGATCTCGAAGAGATAACTTTTTCAATTAACCTACATTTGCTGTTGTTGTCATCGTCATGTGAAGTATGAGGGTCAAGGAAGGAGTAACCAGATTAACGATATCTGACGCTTTGGCTTCTCAGAATGTTGGCGTTCAGGTTCAGGCTCTCTGATGCGGCACTTGACTAATATCTGAAAGATTTCCCTATTTTCTTTGATAGGCAGACAAGGGACTGCTAACTTTTCTCAATACAGTGTTTGTCGAGCGATAATATATAATTCTGCATACCTGAACATCTGCTCAGATTTTCAAATATCACGGCAAAATGGATCGTTCCTTGTCTCCGCAGTCCAGAAGTGTTGGACTTGAGTCGCAGAGCGATGGAGAATTTTCATATTAATAGCTAACTTTGCTGAGAAAAAAATCACCCAACCGTGCCTCGGTGCAACAAATCGAGATGCTGCTAGCAGAAATGGATCTGCGAATATCACGGATAGCACAGTCCTATGATCTCATCGTGCCAGAGAACATTACTCACAACAATGTTCTCTGTTACATGCGTTAGGTATACTATTGATGTACGCACGGTTGTCTAAGAGGTACCTCAAGGTCAGCACAAGGATGTAAGTCGTAGATAAAGTGGATTAAAGAGCAATATCAATCTGGGCTGCTGATTAATAAATCCTCCGCTAAGCATATCTCTTTATCGGAGCTCTAGATAGGTTAAATATTCGTCAGAGTACTTCTGCATTTTCTTGGAGTTTTCAGACTCCATGATTAATTAAATATATTTATACCAAGATTTGCACCTCGCGCTATCTTGTGATATTCTACTAGCATTTCACGTTATACATCAGCATTGCATGATAAGTTGAACTTTCAATGGCGACAAGGTTTGTCACATTGGTTTGAGATAATTACGTTGTCTCCCGCTGTCCAATATGTACGTTTGAATCTAAATGTTGAATTTTGCTAATGAGTAATCTTCATGCACGCTATTCGATGACATTCATCAAAACACCAACCAATGGCTCATTACTCACAAAGGGCTACTCTTCAGTGCGAAATATTCCTTAGAAAACTTTACTGAGACCTGAACGTAATAAAATTCAAAATGCAAAGTAAATGCGTTAGCACTCTTAGGGCCTCATTAATTGTCTATTATGCGCAGAAGCATTCATATTAATATAACATGCAAATCGACAGAATTTTTCGCTAGATCAGGGTACATGGAGATTAACGACAAAACGTCGAGAGAAACAGTTAGAAATATTGCATAATGATAATCGTCGTTGGAATGGAAACACCATAAGAGCTGCCTTAGAAACGAGTAAAAAAATCGAGATCGTTTAACTTTAGTAGTTTGACTCACAGAAACAGCCACAGTTTCGCACCAACAAACGCGTTCGATGACCGTTGACCTTAAGAGTGATATTGGAAATAATATTCATCAACAATTGCGATAAACTGTTAAGTAATATTGCTTTTCTGCTTGAATGCAACACAGATTAACATCGTTTTCAGCGTGATCGTATTTCCAGTATGCCTGGACAATGCATAATAGGTATGCTTTGCTGTATTTCAGCAAAGTATTGAATGAGTTGCGTTGATCAACTTAATTTTCAAACAAATTAAGAAATAAGTAATAAAATTCATTAACAACAATTATTTTTAAGGCAGAAATATTTTTATGATAGTTTTTCGTCGTTCAACGATACCTGCCATCGTTGTAATGGCATGGCTATGATGTTCGATCCTTTAACGTTTTTATTAAATATACCTGTTAATCTTTAGTTGTTATTACTGTATAATAAGGTGGCAAGCGAAGAGGAAAACGGGAGAAAGTTCATGTAGTCTTGCCACCGCGCAGTAACTTCTTTCGCAGTGAAAATATGCATTTTAGCAAACCATTGCAAGTGATAAAGTTGAAACGTATTAACGAACCACCCCTGTTTTATTAGTTGCCGTTTACCAATATGATTGTTTAGTAGCGATAATGTTCTGCCCATTATAAGATTTAACTTGTCAAAGTTATTATATGATTCATTATCTGAGTTTGAAATGTTTAATTGAACTTCTAATTGAATTTGCCTATTCCTGCTGTAGTTGAATGCTCAGATGTATGATTTACCTCCGGTGTTTGTAAGTGCCACGTGTTCACTTCGCTGACGAAGAGGATTTGGTAAGTTCTCAGTCCTGCAATGCTTTCATGCTTTAAGTAGTTGCATGCGTTGAGAGATTTCCCGTTGATATTCCAGGATGGTAACCGGTTTTTGGGTTTCTTCATTAAAGTGAAAGCCATCAGGCCACAAGATGGAAAATATCATTTTTTACATTTTGATTTCAAGATGAGTATAAGAATGTCAGGCATCCTGCTGTTGCTTATTAGAGTTAGTATTTCACTGTGAATTGCTGCTAAGCTTTGTCCTTTTCTTGTCAGTCGTTTAGATGCACTACTTATTTTAAAATATTCTTTTTACTGCTTTGCTACATCTTTTGATAACCGTTATTTTTTCCAAGCGAATTAACTTTTTTTTGTTGATGACATATTCGTGTCACCCAGGCTTTGCTTATGTTGGCATATTATGCTGGAATCAACTTATCCAGAAGTGGCTCTGGGTGTGGTTCACTGCAGGTAATTTCATTGCTGCACCAAGTATGGGGTTTCCATATTGGTTAGAAAGGAAATGATACTTTCAAGTCGTGTCATTTGCATTCAGGAGAACGTCGTTGGTGAATTATTTTCAAGCTTATAAACGGTCTGCACTTGTTTTTCACCATTATAGGATCTCGTTTGGTGGTCGCCAAGTCGTAATGATTAGAGTGAAACTGAACTGTAATGCATGCTTTATAAAATATTTAAATACGATGAAAATTCATGTTGATCTTGGACATCGTTCTTTAAGATCAGATATAGTGATTCCATGGTTGTTTTAACACGGATGACCGACAGTTTCATTATACTTTACAGTTTTTATGAACTTTTCAGCTTACCTGTCCTGACCATCGTTAGTACTAGCAGTGATGTCTCTAGACTAACATTTTCGTGGTAATCTAGATTTAATGTATAAAAAAAATACACATGCAGCAAAAAACAGCCACAAATTTTACCCTGAAGAAGATCTGTGAAATACTGTTCGAATCATAATGACTCATTATATTGTACGTCACTATGGAGGAATTTATGAAAAAAATTCACAATTGGTTTTTTTAATTTTATGTAATTATATTTAATGCTGTACAGCAGTTACTTAAGACTACAGAGAAAACTAAGTATTGTGAAAAAAATGATTTATGTTAAACACAATATAATGATGATTTCTCAAGCGGTAGGCCGATAACGACGTTTATGCATGATGAGACCATTTTGTGCTGTTTTGAACTATGACCAGCGATGCTTGAACTGAAGTTGTCCATCTTTTTACTCCGCTCTTAAACGATGTTTTGTCTTGTTTTTGTCCCAGATTGCTTAACGTTGATTAAACCTTGTTTGTCTGATGTAGCGATTGAATTTTGATGTTTGTGTGATCAATTCTTTGCATCTTCAGCT